ATTTTAGCTCATTTGTGGCACAGTGCAACGGTGGGCCGGATGAACTGACCTCGCGGGCCGTAGTTTGGTGACCCCTGGCCCTACGGCCTCTAGGTTGTGAAACGCGATCTTGCGGCAGTGGTACGCGAACCTTGGACTATCGATCCACTGTCTGGCATGCTAAATATTAGGCTACGCCCGTCCATCAGTTGGGAGAGGGTATTGTTCTAATATATTTCATAAGGCCTAGTAATGCTATTATATTTTCTTTTTGAAACTTTTTATGTCTTATTTTGCGACCTACAGTTTAGTGACTACTGTTAGAAAACATAACACGATACACACTTGTTGACCTGCGAACTACAGTTTAGTGACTACTGTTAGAAAACATAACACGATGCACACTTGTTTGACCTTTTTATTTATTTCACGTGTCAAAAATAATTTTACGTTTTTAACTAAGCGATCTAAAAAAAAACGTGTAGCTCTCTGTATTATATGTAACTGTACACTTTTAAACGGATGCAGTTGACGGCAGCAACAGTACACGTATATATATATATATACCTTAGCTGCACGTGATATACACATGTATATAGATCTATAATGATCTCGATTTGGTACCGTTTCACATTTTGTCCTTTGTCCGTTCTTTTCGTTGGGCCAGGGAGAGTTTACGACTTACAACGCTAAAATTCGAGGATCGATTCCTCACGGTGGACCTCGTGCAGGTAGCCCACCCCTCCCCCATTATGTAGTTTTGCACTGAGAAAATAAAAACTGTTTACTTGTTGTAAGTTTCACTCTGGAGTTTGTTGAAGTTTCCACACATTTTAATCGTCGTCTCATTTATACGGTGTAAATTAAAGAAGTTGTAGTACAAACTCGAGTAGATATATTTTACTCTTCATTTTCTACAGTTTTTATATTATTATTAATCGTTATACATTTAAATCTTTTATTATCATTTTTAGTAGAGTATCGATAAGTTTTCAATTTCAATTTAATTTCTTTTATTTCCTGAAAAAAAAATGGAATCAGTAGTCTGCTCACTAGGTGGCAGCACTTTGAAATATCGTTATGATTATTTTGTGTATAAGAACTATGCGATAAAATAAATTAAGGCCCGTTGATCAAAGATGAAAATATACAACACACACTGATTAACAGTCAAAACTTAAGACCTGGACACTAAACGTTAGAGAAAAATTGACAGTTTGTCTGCAAGGATGTTGGAATAAATCTTAAAAAATAATAGTTTGTGAGTATCGTGAATTTTGTACATATCTCGATCACATGACCACATTGAATATTTTTCTCTATTTTTCGTACATGCTCGATTTCGCTCTCACATTTTTTCTTGTGATGTTGATATTTTTGATGTATTTAATGTTTACCAAGTTTTATGTAATTTCTTGTCAGGACATGCTGCAGTTAATTCATAGTCTTGACTCTAGGGGTCAGGGTATTGTTACTTTCCCGGATTTCTGCAAGGGCGTCACTACTGTCCTACTTCGTCAAAGTAAGACTACTGGTTATATATTTTAACTAAAATTATGTATGTACACTATTAAAAATTTTGTAAATCATTTGTTCTGTGTATATATATATATATATGTATGTGTATTTATGAGATAATATTTTTTAGGCTTAACATTGCAGTATTTGTTATAGTAATGCAGAGAGTAATCATGATAAAATAATTACATTTATTATAAACGTAATATAGAAGGCCTGTCTGATTATTAATAACTTACACTCGACAATATATAAACGAACTGACGAGATGTACATGTTATCATAAATCTAAAAACAGTTTAGATTAGAATACGCCAAATCATATTGTCATTGTGTATTATTCGATTGGACCGAATGATAAACCCAGTAAACATTATCAAGTATATTCAGGCAACATTCTAGTAATATTAAAATGATTAAAAATTCTGTGCAATTAAATAACGTTTCCTGGAGGCTGAGTATCAAAGTATAGTGGCGCTGTTATTAAATCTGTGACGCGGAATCTGAGTTCCTTTGAATTTCAGTGTTTCACAGTAAGCTCATAGAAGTGGGAGGAAGAGGGCCGAAGTAAACCTACCCCTCCCAGGTCGCGTACAAGACTTATAGAGGATGTGTGTGCCACAGTCTAAATAGAATATACTAATATAATATTACTTATTTTTAGAAAGAGGGTACGTGTATACTATATGTTCCACAAATTAAATATGTTTATTTCTCAGGTTGGATATTCTACCAGTGTTAACTAACAGTCGTAACAGCTTTTTGACAAAATGCTTGTCTGCTTTTTATACATGAAGTTGAACACATAGAAATAAGACGACTAATAATGATTTCCTTTTTATTCACTAGGTGGCTGCAATATAAATAATGGAGGCGATGAGTCCCCGAACAACACAAATTTGTATCTACCAAGTCAGGTATACCTATTCACTAGTCTGTCTGTAACCTTGTAGGGTTCGTTATTAGGGCGATGTTATAATAAACAATTGATTAGTAATGACTTAAAAAATGATTTATAAAAATTACATTCCACCACTACCAACGTAATGTAGTTCGAGTAATTAGTGATATAACTTTTATCTGTCGTATATTTCCGGCCTGACGAGCTACGGTATTGTACGAAAGGTCACGTCGGCATTATATATAATAAATATAGTGTGTGTGTGATGAACATGTTATTTAGTTCAAGTAATTAGTAATATAACTAGCGTTTCACTCAATACTTTTATCTGTCGTATATTTCCTGCCTGACGAGCTACGGTATTGTACGAAAGGTCACGTCGGCATTAGATATAATAGATATAGTGTGTGTGATGAACATGTTATTAGATTCGTTTTTGCTTTCATTCATATGTTTTTATAATTAGCTTGTAACAGAATATTGTTAAAAACAGTATGAAAAATTATCAAAATATTTGAAACGTAGATTTTGTGGAATTTAGGCCTTTTTCTACAAAAATTCACTTTAATATTATAAATGCTACATATTTTTCAAATCACCATATATATGTGACACACAGTTCACCAGTACAAGAAGTCTTGGTCCCGTTTTTTCTATTTGCATTTGTTCAGGGTGGCTGACAAGGGTACAAATGGTATAACTCGGTGACAAGTGTAGATTAGGCTTAACATTTACTTTTAGTACAATATATTTTTTATTAGTAATGCATTTTTCTCAGCGTATTTTTTTTTTAAATTGAAGCTTAATGGTGGGCTTATAACACTAAAAATCGGAGTTCGACACCCGTGTAGCTTTGCTCTTATAATGAAAGCAAAGGAAAGTAATAAATATGAGCTGATGTCGTGTGTAGGTAAACATTATTAGTGTGATAAAGATAAAAGTATTGTTTTTGTCAGTGGTTATAACTGAATATTAGTATACAGCTAATGTAACTACCTATCGTATGTGATAAAATATTAAGAAATTAACGAACAGATTACGGTGGGTTTTCTAATGGGTTTGAAGAAAGCAACAGAAGGATGAAATGCTCGGATGATAAGAACTAACTTATAATTGAAACACGAATATGTTACTACTTCTGTACAATAAAAAACATACAAAAATGTGTATAGTCACAAAAGGTGGGAGGTTATTTGTTTGTTTCTTGGATTTCGCGCAAAGCTAGTAAAGGCCTATCTGCGCTAACCATCCCTAATTTAGCACTGATAGACTAGAAGGATGACGGTTAGTCAACACCAGCCACCCCTAGCTCTCGGGAATTGACTGTCACATTATAACGCCCCCATGGCTGAAAGGGCGAGCATATTCAGTGACGGGGATTTGATCCGGCAGATTGCGGGTCGAGCGCCCCCTAACCACGAGGCCTACTAATAGAAGTAAGCCTACTTTGTGTCGGATGAGGTTTATACATGTATGTTACTACCCCCGTAACGACTAGAATATCAGCCTACTCTGTGTGATGCATGTTCACAGAATGTGTATCTTAAATTAGATTATAGCACAACCTATTCGTTGTAGCACAACAATTACCTAATTATAGATAACAAGATACACACACCTACCAAGTGTGGTAGCTGACATTCCCGTGGGTAGGTTTTCATAAACATTATATACACACCTGCCGAGTGTGGTAATAACTGACATGGCCCGGCATGGCCAGGTGGTTAGGGTACTCGACTCGCAATCTGCGGGTCGCGGGTTCGAATCCCCGTCACACCAAACATGCTCGCCCTTTCAGCCGTGGGCCGTT